TGTAAGACAAATGTAGAAATTCCAATTTCCAGTTCCAATTAACTTTATTAGGTGCCGCTCAAAAAGAGCAACCTAGATCATCATATTTACAATATATTGAGGGGGGTTGTTATGTACAGGGGTTCATTTACAATTATAATTAATAATGATGTCGTTGGGTCCGGATTCTCAGGTCCTTGGGGATATTGTTTTTAAGAAGATTTTTTCTGGCTTGTTTGATATTCAAGGTAGGTTTGTTTTTCCTTTTTTTCCACTTTTCTTCATTCTGGCTTAATTGATGGAGAATTTGTCTAGGTTTTAAATTTCCTTTTTTCCTTTTTCGGCATTTGTAGTTTGTTGCTTCCTTAAAGGTGGGATTTTCTAATTTTTCGGATTTTACATAGAATTTAAATGATTGTCTAATAATGTAGTCATTGATGTTTTCGATATTTAGATCGTTCCTGAGGATTGTGTTCCGAACGAACCAGGGTGGAGACATGATTTTTCTCATCATTTTATTTTCGAAGACTTCTAGCTTTTTAAGGATGGTCTTATGTGCTGTCATAAAAATGGGGTGGCCATATATGAGTATTGGTCTTATTATTGATGTGTAAATGGTTCTTTTGCAATGAAGGGATAATTTGCTTTTCAGTCCTAGAAGTAGGGATAGTCGGTGTTGGGCCGCTTTCGCCAAATTAATTCTGTTTTCGATGTGTTTTTTGAATGTTAGGTGCTCGTCTAGGGTCATCCCTAGGTATCGGATGTTCTCTTTCCATTTAATATTGTCTTTGAAAACAAAAAGTTCATCTAAAGGTTTCTTAATTTTGTCTTTTTTTCTGGAGAATATTATTGCTTCACTTTTTTGGGGGTTCATTGTGACTCGCCATTCTTTACACCAGAGCGTGGAAAAGATGCAGGCCTCTTGAAGTTTCATGTGGAGTCTGTCGAAGTCGTATGTCGAGGCCAAAATGGCGGTATCATCGGCAAATAGGTGTAAGGAGGTGTCTTCAATACAGGGGAAGTCATCTATATATATGTCGAATAAGGTTGGTCCTGTGACCGATCCTTGAGGGACCCCAGCAAGGATGTTCCTAGCTGTTGAAAGTTCATCTTTGACTCGTACCTTGAATGTTCTATTTGTTAGGAAGTTTTGGGTTATTTTTATGATGTCTCCAGGAAGGTGCTTTTTGCACATTTTGTAGAGAAGGGCTTCGTGCCAGACTTTATCGAATGCTTTGGCAATATCGAATAATACGGCTCCTGTTATTTGGCCTAGGTCCATTGCTTTTCTTATTTTTTAGTGACAACAACTAGCTGGTGCAATGTTGAGTGCTTGGCTTGGTAGCCAAATTGTTCAGGTCTGAGTGGATTCTTTTTTTCTAGGGATTTTCTGAGTCTTCTTAAAACAATTCTTTCGAATAGTTTTGAGATGGCAGGTAACAGCGAAATGGGCCTGTAGCTTGTTGGTTCATGCATGGATTTTCCTTTTTTAAGTATGGAGAGATAATGGACGTTTTCCATCTGTCAGGGAAGTGGGCAAGCTGCAGTGAGGCGTTAAATATTTCGGTTATTGATGCCAGTATATGATTAGGGAGCAGTTTGAAAGCTTCATTAGGCAATTCATCGATTCCGGGAGATTTTTTATTTGGTAGATATTCAATAATCGCTTTTATTTCACCAATGTTTGTTGGTTCTAGTCCTATTTCTTTATTGTTTTCCATGTATGAATTCACACGTTTGATGTATGTACGAGTAGGTTTGGAGTGGGATGTATAGGGATTGGGGGTGAACTGTTTTTCATAGTTGTTGGCAAATGATTCAGCTGCTTCTTCTGTGGTTAGTGTCTGCCCATTGTTTGTCTTCAGTGTTATTTCTTGTTTTTCAGAGTTGGATAATCGTTTGATGGCTTTCCATATGGTTTGGTCCGTGACTTTCAAGTTTTCGATAAAGTGGTCCCAGCTGGTGTTATCGTGCTCTCTTGTAAGTTTCTGTGATTCTCTCTGGGCCGTCATGTAGGCTGATTTATCTCGGGGGTCGCAGGTTTTTTTCATTTTTTTCTTAGTCTGTTGGTGGATTGTATTTTTTCTTTAATGTGAGGTGGATATCTTCGTTCTAGTTCCGAGTCCTTATATTTTGTTGAATCTTTCAAATTTTGCACCATTTTTTCTTCAAGGTTCAGCGATTTCCATTTTGTACTTGAATAGGGCCCAATCTGTAATTTTTATTTTTGTATTTGAGTAGGAGATTTTGAAATCCTGTAGCACAAGTAGTACTGGGAGATGATCAGAGGTTAGTTCATGCAGGACTTTAGAGTATGCGCTTTGGGAGATGTTTTTGTGCACGGCGATGTCAATGATGTCTGGAGGTGAGTCATGAGTAGGTTCGTCAGGGTAGCTCACATCTAGGTCCATAACGTTGATTGCGTTTTGGAGCCTTCTCCCGCTTGGGTTAGTGGTGGTGGAACCCCAGGCAGGATGTTTGCAGTTTAGGTCCCCTGCTATGATGGTCGGTGTGTCTGTTGAAAAAATGTTATAAATATCGGTTTGATCTAAATAGGTGTTTGGTGGTTTGTAGCATGAATACAGGTTCATATTTAACCCGTTTTTGTTTTTGATTGAGATTCCTGTGGTTTCCAGGCTTGAGGTGGTGGCATGAATAGGTGCATGGCTGTACTTCTTGTGGATGAATATGGCAGTTCCACCACCTTGTCCGGTTAGTCTGTCGTTGCGGAGGGTGATGAAGTTTTGAATCCTCATTTTATGGCACGGCTTAAGCCAGGTTTCTGACACTAGTGCGATGTCGATGTCGTGATCGTTCAGGAATTCTGAGAATTGTTGTTTTTTGTTTCGGAGACTACACGCGTTCCAGTGAACGAATCGAAGGCTATTTTTATACATATTTTTGTGATTCATTTACATCTAAAGGTGTCTACAACGTTCTTCATGATGTTGGCTATTATTGCGGGGTCACTGAGAGCCTTTTTGATAGCGCTCTCTAGTTGGTCGACCTTAGTGGCTGAAGGAGGATTGGGACGTTCTTTATTAACATGTGGAGTTTTGTTCTTGTTTTGAATGGGATGGGGAATTTCAGAAGGGTTTGGACCTAAAGGGTTGGATTTTTCTGTATTGGGGTTTGGTTTCTGATTATTTTGAGTTTGGGGCAGTCTATTGATTTTTTTGTATAGTAGGCAACCACGCCAACTTTCTGTATGCTGACCCTGGCAGTTTGCACATTTAGGTGGGACTTCTTTTTCTTTGGCGCATTTGGATGTGAAATGATTTTCTCCACATTTTACACATTTGGGAGTTTCCCTGCATTCAAACTGAGAGTGCCCAAAGTTTTGGCACCTATGCATTGTCCGGGGCCTTTGGGAGCCCTGTAAGCCTCGACGTTGCACTTCATGTCGCATAGATCTGTGATATTGTAAATTTCTTTATTTCTTGCAGTCTTAGGAAGGGTTACCTGGATTAGTGGTAGCTCCTGCTTTGTTCTTGAATTTCGTAATCTTGCAAGTTTGGACATCTCGAATTCCTTATTTTCCAGATCCTCTTGTATTTCGGGGATGGTGATGCAGCGGTCGAGACCTCTGACGACCACTCTAAGGCACTTTTCGTCGTCTAGGATCTTGAAGTGGAAGGTGTAGTGGCGATCTTCCAGCCACTTGGTAGCTGTCCGGTAGTCTGATGTTGTGTGAGTCTGAACGTTGATGTATCGGCCTGATGTGTAAAATTCTGGCTTTTGTTTGGTACACTTGATAAGACCATCTCTAAGGCCTGACCATTCCTTTACTCCGCTTATTTTAATCGGTGGTATTCTGATCTTGGGGTTAGGGGTGGGATTGTTAGGTTTGTTATTCGATGTTTGGTTAGATTTCTTTGATGAGTTAGAGTTTTTATGGTTTTGTTCATGATTTGGCATTTTGTTTGGTGCCACTTCGATTTCCATTTCGATTGTTTCTGCTTCATGAGATTTTTCAGGCTGTTTATTTTGTAATTTTGGCTCAGGATTACCTTGTGATCTTTGGTTGGAGCACCTGGTTGTTTTTTGCGTTGTTGTTTCTTTTGCGGCTACTGGTGATTTTTCTCTTGGGCGCTTCGCGGGAGCTTTTATAGTATTGTGTTCTAGGTAGTTTGAGCGCAGTTCGCACAGTTCCCTTTCGTAAAAGTCAATAAAATTTATTAGCTCGGCAAAGGTGGTTTCGACCGCGCCGGAGTATTTCTTCAAAGCTTGAGAATCTTCTTCATTTTTTAATTCTGGCAGTTTCCAAATTGAATATTTACGGGTACCTACCAGGTATTTGGGGTTGGTAAAATTAGTGTTGGGGGCTTCTGGTGCAGGGAGATCTTCCATGGTTCGGGTTTTTCGCGTGGGACTCGAATTTATTTATTTTTATTATTTCTTAAAAAAAACACAATGTAGAAGTTATTTCTGAATTATATATTATATCAATTATATATTCTGTGGATCATTGTTGATATAGTAAAAAAATTGAAAAATCCAATTTGTGCATATTTTCTAAAAATAGTTGTTATTAATATGTATATACTAGAGGAATGGCCCGGGCAACGCCCGGGTTTTACCCGAGTGCGTATATATTTTAAAAACGTTTTAATTCAAATACTATTCGTTACAATTATAAATTGGCGCCATGGATGTCACTCTTGTGAAACGTCCCATAACATAAAAGTCGGTGGACGAGTGGGTAACCCCCTCGATTCCCGACAGTCATGAACCGGGATTGAATCCCGCTTTAAAATTTGTTTAATATGTGAATAACCTTCACATATTATTCAATGTTCAATTATCATGAACTAGGTTGCTCTTGCTGAGCGGTACCTATTTATGTGAATTTGAACCAGGAAACGTCCCGTTCCAAACTGTGTGTTTTTAAAAGGTTTTAATTAAAATACTATTCGTTACAATTTTAAATTGGCGCCGTGGATGTCTCTCTTGTGAAACGTCCCGCCCCAAACTGTGTGTGTCTTGAAAATATAAAAATGAAAATGTGAACGGAAAAATATGTCCAGGGTAGCCTAGTGGTCATGGCATCTGCCCGGTAAGCGGAAGGTCGTGGGTTCGATTCCCATCCCATCCCTTTTTTTATTTTATCCATTCTGACCAAAATCTATCCGTGAACTTCACGCAGTGAACTTCACACAGACAGAATAAGGCAATTATATAAGTAGATAAGTATAATTAAATAATAATTATTATTATTATCATTAGATAATGATAATGGTCATAATGATGATGCGCGCGTTGATGACCAAAATCTATCCGTGAACTTCAGACAGTGAACTTCACACAGACAGAATAAGGCAATTATATAAGTAGATAAGTATAATAATAATAATTATTATTATCATTAGATAATGATCATAATGATGATGCGCGCGTTGATGGCCAAAATCTATCCGTGAACTTCAGACAGTGAACTTCACACAGACAGAATAAGGCAATTATATAAGTAGATAAGTATAATAATAATAATTATTATTATCATTAGATAATGATCATAATGATGATGCGCGCGTTGATGACCAAAATCTATCCGTGAACTTCAGACAGTGAACTTCACACAGACAGAATAAGGCAATTATATAAGTAGATAATTATAATAATAATTATCATTAGATAATGATAATGATCATAATGATGATGAGCGCGTTGATGACCAAAATCTATCCGTGAACTTCAGACAGTGAACTTCACACAGACAGAATAAGGCAATTATATAAGTAGATAATAATAATAATTATCATTAGATAATGATAATGATCATAATGATGATGAGCGCGTTGATGACCAAAATCTATCCGTGAACTTCAGACAGTGAACTTCACACAGACAGAATAAGGCAATTATATAAGTAGATAATAATAATTATTATTATCATTAGATAATGATAATGATCATAATGATGATACGCGCGTTGATGACCAAAATCTATCCGTGAACTTCAGACAGTGAACTTCACAGAGACAGAATAAGGCAATTATATAAGTATAGTATTATATATATATATGATGTAAGAGAGAGGGGAGTGGTGACAAATAACTAACTTGAAATATCACAATCCTTTAAGAGGACACTTTTCATAAATGAAGCAGAAGGATACTTACCTGGCATCGGTGTCACGGAGATCAAGATTCCTGTGCCCTCAGGAGAGGCCTTTCCATTGCACTTTGGAATGGCTGGCCCTGACCACTTTCCCAAATCGGGATAGCTGGGGTGCGACAGTCATGAACCGGGATTGAATCTCGCGTTAAAATTTTGTTTAATATGTGAATAACCTTCATATATTATTCATTGTTGAATTATCATGAACTAGGTTGCTCTTGCTGAACGGTACCTATTTATGTGATTTGAACCAGAGAAGCAGAAGGCTTTTGACTATATTAAAAGTTGTAGGTCAAATATTTAGTCAATAAAATTTCAAGTTTTTTATCGTAATATTTTTCTCCGAAAAAAAAAAGAATACAATTTTTACTATGATCTTTTGCATCAGTGGGAAAATTTAAGAGAGGGAAACTATCTAATCAATTGTGTGTTAAACCTTATAAATGTTTTTTTTTTTCATTTTAATATTCTAGTCTGTATTCAATTTGGCTGTACTCCCTATATTGCTCATAATTATAAGGAATTATATCGTGTTGATTTTCTCCCTGACCTGCAGTCTGCCTTTGACAATGTGGACCGAGAGTTCCTGGCCGCCCAGCTGCGCTCCATCGGCCTACCTCCGCCCCTCATTGAATGGCTCCACCTTCGCTACGCGGAGGCCGATGCTACCATTAAGGTCGATGAAAACTTCACCTGCCCATTCAGAATGCGCAGAGGGCTTCGGCAAAAACAAAAAGTCGGTGGACGAGTGGGTAACCCCCTCGATTCCCGACAGTCATGAACCGGGATTGAATCCCGCGTTTAAATTTTGTTTAATATGTGAATAATCTTCACATATTATTCATTGTTCAATTATCATGAACTAGGTTGCTCTTGCTGAGCGGTACCTATTTATGTGATTTGAACCAGATCAGGCTTCGGCAGGGTTGTGCCTGCAGCGCAGCTCTATTCTCCATCTTCACCGGTCCCCTCCTGCGCCACCTGGAGAGAGCTCTCGGAAGAGGGAACGTCCTGGCGTACGCCGATGATATTCTCTGCTGATCCATGAAGATTGGCAGTTCGAGAAAGTCAAGACCATCTTTGACGAATTCCGGCGTACGTCAGGAGTATGCGTGAACTTCACTAGGTGTAAGAAACTGTGGTGCGGCGCCTGGAGGGACCGCGCCGACTCTCCTTTGGGCATCTCGTGGTCCGCATCTTCCATCACGGTGCTGGGCTGCGAAGTTACATCTGGAAAAGGAAAATCGTTCTAGGAAAATCATTTTCTGGGAATCCTGGAAAGAGCAATCTCTAGATGGTCCCCATACGTCTGTGGCTTCTCCCTGGTTGGGCGAGCGAGAGCGGCCAACTCGCTGGTACTAGCGGCAGTGCTCTACCATCTGCACGGCTACCTGCCCGACGACGCCACTATCGCTAAATTACAGGCCAGGCTGACGCGGTTTGTCTGGGGGGAACGCTTATTCATGGCTGGTGGAGTTCGTACAAATAATGCCCAAGAGTTCTGCCTGGAAGGCTAAACACTCGTGATTTCATAGTAGTCACTAATTACGCAACAGAAAGAGCTACGCCTATAATTTTCTCTTGGAAGGAAATATACTGATCCTATTTTATACCCAACCACCTTGAGGGATTATATTTATCACATTTGCATAGTTAGCTGTTTTAAGTGAGTGTTCAAAATTTCAAATTTCTATGTGGTCTGGAATCATATTAAAAATTAATTACAATATTTGGGGACAGACAAGTAATAAATCTGATTCAAATCACATAAATAGGTGCCGCTCAGCAAGAGCAACCTAGTTCATGATAATTGAAGAATGAATAATATGTGAAGGTTATTCACATATTAAACAAATTTTAACGCGGGATTTAATCCCGGTTCATGACTGTCGGGAATCGAGCGTGTTACCCTCTCATCCAACGACTTGTTGTTTTTACAAGTAATAAATCTCTCTCTCTGGTTCAAATCACATAAATAGGCACCGCTCAGCAAGAGCAAACTAGTTCATGATAATTGAACAATGAATAATATGTGAAGGTTTTTCACATATTAAACAAAATTTAAACGCGGGATTCAATCCCGGTTCATGACTGTCGGGAACCGAGGGTGTTACCCACTCGTCCACCGACAATTTTCAAGTAATAAAGTTAAATAAAATCTCTCTCTCTTTTTTTTTTAAATGTAAAACAGCTTCCTGATGCGTAAAATATGATTTAAAAAAATATATATTAGTAATGCGGAACACTGTTAGTTTTTGCAATTTTGAGTAGAGTGCAGCTCATTATTTTTATTACGCATGGAAAATTAGGAGTTCCAGTTCCAAATAACTTTATTAGGTGCCGCTCAAAAAGAGCAACCTAGATCATCATATTTACAATATACTGAGGGGGGTGGTTATGTACAGGGGTTCATTTACAATTATAATTTATAATGATGTCGTTGGGTCCGGATTCTCAGGTCCTTGGGGATATTTTTCTTGAGAAGGTTTTTTCGGGCTTGTTTGATATTCAAGGTGGGTTTGTTTTTCCTTTTTTCCCACTTTTCGTCATTCTGGCTTAATTGATGGAGAATTTGTCTAGGTTTCAAATTTCTTATTTTCCTTTTTCCGCATTTGTAGTTTGTGGCTTCCTTATAGGTGGGATTTTCTAATTTTTCGGATTTTTCGTAAAATTTAAATGATTGTCTAATAATGTAGTCATTGATGTTTTCGATATTTAGATCGTTCCTGAGGATTGTGTTCCGAACGAACCAGGGTGGAGACATGATTTTTCTGATCATTTTATTTTCAAATACTTCTAGCTTTTTAAGGATGGTCTTATGTGCTGTCATAAAAATTGGATGGCCGTATATGAGTATTGGTCTTATTATTGAAGTGTAAATGTTTCTTTTGCAATGAAGGGATAATTTGCTTTTTGATCCTAGAAGTAGGGATAGTCGGTGTTGGGCAGCTTTCGCCAAATTAATTCTGTTTTCGATGTGTTTTTTGAAGGTTAGGTGCTCGTCTAGGGTCATCCCTAGGTATAGGATGTTCTCTTTCCATTTAATATTGTCTTCGAAGACAAAAAGTTCGTCTAAAGGTTTCTTAATTTTGTCTTTTTTTTCTGGAAAAAATGATTGCTTCACTTTTTTTGAAGGAAAATTAGGATACAAAAGGCAAGGTGTCACACATCATTTTTATATTAAAATAATTGTACTTTATTTAGATAAAATAACAGAAAGAAACTTCATAAAAGTAATTCGAGATATAATCTATATATATATAAAAATGAATGTATGTGTGTGTGTGTGTCTGTTTGTTTGTTTGTCCTTTATGCCTGACCAAACCACTCATTGGATCGCCATGAAACTTTGGGAAGTTATTTAGTATAGTACTGGGAAGGTTTCTAGCAAATAAAATTTTTGAAATAACTTTTCGCCTAGAAATAATCAAGATAAATATTTTAATTTATCTGTTATAATTCAACAATCTGCTCTAAATATTATCATGATGATACGATGATTTTGTAATGTAGAAAATTAGGAAAGACAAAATTCAGGATGACACGGCAATTTATTTGAGACAAGAATAATGATACAATTCCTAGGCAAGATACTATTCCTTTAACTTCCAATTACCGAGGGAACCAATTAATATTGATTTTATTCAACTTATCGAGTATTTTTCAAGGGACCGGGAAAAAAATGTTCACTTTATCGAGAGATTCGTTAGACAAACTTTTACTCGGGTAAAACCGGGCGAAGCCGGGTACGTCCGCTAGTTTAAGAATAAAAATTCTCAAAAAATAATATTTATAATAATTTGTATTATAAAAATATTCTGTTTCAGAATATCAATTTCTCTCTATTTTTTATTTGATTATAAAAAAGCCCACTCAGAGCGGACAGTTCCCAGTATTGAGCGATCATCAAAAGACCACAGAAGGGTCCAACTTCACGCTCAGGGAAAGGCCCCCCAACTCCTCATCGCGGGTGGC